GCGGGAGGCGGGGGGGTTTGGTTATGTCTCTGTTTGCAAGGGGGAGGTGCTCTCACAGGCCTTAGAGAAAGAGAGGGAACAGTCAGAGGAAGGGAAAGGGAACGAGAAGCGAGAAGTGAGGAGGAAGGAGAGGGGCTGAAAGGACAAAATCCACCTGTAGAGGATGTGAGTAAAGGCTGAAAAAAAGGATAGAAAGAGTAAAAAAAATTAAGAGTGAAGGAGGGGGGGGGAGTGAACGGGGGGATTACACCCCCGTGTTGTCTTAGCAGCCAGCCAACAGCTCTTAATGAAACACTTTGGTTCAATTTCTGATTCATCTCTCACAGCGTGATCAGCTTTGTCCCCAACAATCCTCCCCTCATCTGAATTTAATGCATCATAAATGAGAAATTAGAATGCACACACTTCTGCAGACGACTCTCAAACGGGAGGACAAAGAAAAAAGGAACCGAATATATGTGCCGTTCCCGCCGTGCTTAAGTATGTTATGAGAAAGCGGCAGTCGATAAATACGTATAAATAGTAACCTTTGAGAAAATCAAATAATGTTGACCTTTCTCCGAGTCGATGGTGTAATCCTCTGTGCTCCCGCCTGCCTGCAGAGACACTTGAACAGTATCACTCTTTTAATGAAGAGATGATTGGTCTCCAGGTTGAAAGGCTTACAGCTGGACTTGGACAGATGCTCTCCAAAAGCATACTAAATGATAGGTTAACGTCACATTAGCTATTCCTCTCGCAGGATGTAAAAATCAAACCTTAATTTATTCTTTTTTCACCCCCATTTGCCTGCTTATACATGGGAAACTGAAAACACACAGAGCCAGAGCTACTGCAAGGCTCCTTTTCTTGATTCATGCATATGCACTTGAGATTAAAAATGAAAACTCGATGCAAGAAATCCATGAAAATTCTAATTGGATTGGTCAATACTCCCCTCCATCTTCCAGCTGATGTTCAGTGGAGGTTGGATTTGAAATATTTAGCAGCAGGTGTAATTAAAACACTAACAGACGACACCTTACAGCGCCATTCTGCACTGCTTCTCTAAATAAACCTCCCCGGGTCAGTGAAACTGCAGGAGAAATCACTGCGTGATCCAGGGAAGCTTTGCTGTGACAACACTCCTGTCTAGTTCCTGTCTGAGATTTATCAGAGGTTTCACAAAATCAATGCAGCTTGCTGTAAGAAAGATCACAGCAAACACTAGAGACCTATCAGTGATAATAGCCATCTTGGCACGGACGGGAAAAAAATATGTTTGTCAGAAGTGGCGAATTACAGAGAAGCACATGAGACGACGAGATGAAATGTGTAACGCGTCGTTTTATGACGCTACACTCAATATGTTAAGGTCTTAAATGTGCAAAAAGATAAACTCCTGGATTTCAGACCCAGTATAAGATTGTGTTTGTGCATCTATATGTTGCACACGTGTGATTCAAATTTGTGTATAATGTGTCCTGGACTTCCCGCCAGCCCAAACACAGGCACACACATCCATCACACAGCACACCTATGGGTCTGTGGCTGCATGCCACACACACCCACACAAACAGACACACACACACACACACACGCAGGCAGGCAGAGGATTATTGAGGTAGTATCAAACAGGAATAATAAAGCAGGTTCTTAAGATTTTAATAAGAATAAAATGAAACAGTAACCACCGAGGGGCCAGCAGGGTTAATCCCTTCTATATTACTGAAAATAAAAAAAGGATAAAAACAGACAGGAGGGCAGGGCTGGAGCCGGAGGAGAGAGAGAGAGAGACAGGGAGAGAGAAGAGGAAGGAGAAGGAGGAGAGGGGGCTGTGGAGATGAAATATAAGAATAGTGGTCGGCTGGTTTCAAAAGTAGAGCCAGTTAAAAGGGACTGAAATTAACAAGTAGTTTTAAAATAGCACAAGCAGGCTCATAATTTCCTGCTCTTAATTCTATTTTATTCTCTGACACATACACCCACTGACACATACACCCACCGACACACACACACACACAAAGATGACACTGTTTGACTGTGTTTAGACTTGATGAAAGCTTGGTTCATTCCCTATGCGTTGAAACACCCGTGTCGGTTCAGCAGCATATTTCCAATGTCAAAGCACGTGCGCCGGCAGCAGATGGCATGAAACAGTTGGCAAGAGTGAGCGAGCGTGAATATCTGTTTACTAATAACCCTTTAATTACTTCAGATGGGCAATGGGATCAAACATCCAGACCCACACAGGAATTAGCCTTAAATGAGACTGGACTGAAAATCTAGGCTAACTCCTTATGTTGCCATAAAGACCTTTGCTGTGAGAACTGGCGCTTAGAAAAACCCTTATAGACAGAAAGTAGACACACTTTAAATATTCTCTTTTCCACTTAGAGGGCTTTATTTATCATCAAAAGATGCTTTTATGTTAATCTAAGGAGGGATACATATGGCTGAATTTAAGGATCATTTATTGATTGATTATTTAATTTATAAAATGTCAGAAAGTAGTGGGAAAATGCAGTTCAAGTTCCCAGAACCCAAGGTGACGTTTTTAAGATATTTTTTTCTTTCCAAAACACAAATGATATGAAAAGCCGCAAATGCTCACATCTGAGAGGCCGGATGTACGTATAGTTTGACTTTTAACAATTATTTTAATCTGCTAATTTTCAGTTTTTCCTGAAATCAATAAATCACCTGGTCTATAAAATGTGAATAATGCTCATTACGCTCTCCTAAAGCAAGGCTGCATCTTAAAATGTTATATTTTTTCTAACAAACAGTCCAGAACCAAAGAGATTCAGGTTACTGTCACATCTCACAAATTCCCACAATGGAAAGCTGGAGCAAGTTCATTTTTGGTATTTTTATTATTTATCATTATTCTGATTTGCCCTTTATTAGACTTTACTCTGTTTGTCACAGGTACCTTTCTCTTTCGACTAAAACGTTAGACTGACTGATAGATTGGCTGTTTGTCTTTAAACATTAACACATCAAAAAATTATAAGAAAACGATTTCTTATAATTTTATTTATTTGGTCATTTTCGGTTATTATAAAATATGTACTGAGCGGGACACTTTAAACAAAAGTTTAAAAATGTACTTGTCAGTGCTCTCTGGTGGACAAACTGTGTAAGGGGACCAACTTCTAAATTTCGTATTTCTGCAACGTTGGAAATTGGTAGTTTGCTCATTAGTTACGTGCTGACATGGTACGCAGATATCAGTGGGACCTTGTGATATTTCTAAAATCAACCAACGCGATTACGTTGAAAGGTTGGTTGCTTACAAAAATGTAAAATCCCTTTTGTTAACCATTTTCTACTGCATGTTCACATGTGATTGGTGCAAATGTAGCAGTTGACATCATTAAGTATAGCTTCCTCAGAGTATGTGCTTCCAGAAACAAGGAGGCACTTTTAATATTTTGAACACTTAATGCATATGCCACTGCTCATATTCTGGGTAGTCGAGTGTTATGAGGGTGCTCCCAGGGAGAAAATCCCTGCTGTGTGTAAATGTCATGAAAAATTCCTTCATTTGCCAGAATAACGTTAACCTTCTCCATTTTGTTCCACTGAACCCACCTCTCGGGCAGATGTGTTACAAAGACGTGCGCCGTCTCCTCAGCCTGCACCTCGTTCTTCCTTTACGCCTTTCATTACGTGAACGGGGAGCGAATGCAGTTTGCCGGCTGGCCTTTTTCCGGTGCGGGTGCATCGGGAGAGCATACATTTTAATGACGGGACCTTTACTTTTGAATAACAGTGAGGAGGGAAGAAAATAAATTGCTGTTCAAAAGGAGATAATACTCTTGGCATTGTGGGATTGCCAGGGATTGGGCAGCTGTGTGGCGACGACCCCTACACTGAGACCAACCTGTATAAATTAAGATATAAATAGGCTCATCTAGAGTAGTATTACCAGGGGTGTGCTTGAGTGCTCGAGCACATGCTTAATATATGCATGTAGGTGTGTGTTTGTGTGGTGTGCACCCTCCCATGAGGGAAGCAGAGAGAAAAAGAGCATGGCATCATGTCCATTGGAACAATCTGGTTGCATGAGCAATTGTGTGTGAGTGTGTGTGTGTGTGTGTGTGTGCGGGCACGTGTGCTCACACATACTTGTGACAGAGTGCTGGGGAAACCTAAATCCCACTCAAGTGTAAGGCAAACAGTGGTGGCAGTGTGTGGTTATTGTATTTTCTTTGCTTGGATCCCAGTAAACACCCCCAGGCCTGCGCTGCCTGCCTGCCTGTCACCGCGGCCATCCTGCCATCAGCGGCCAGCTTCATGCTGCAGCCAGAGCCCTGGCGCAGGCCCCACAAGGAAATTAAAAGGGGATTAAGGCTGGCTGACACTTTGTGGCCGATTACTCATTTATTTTTTTGTGTGTGTGTGTGAGAAGCG